TTTCTCAGTTGGTTCCTTAGCCCTTGAAGCCACTTCCTCGCACTTTCTCAAAAGAATTTCTCAGAATCACGCATTTTTCATATAGAAGAATTTAATTTTTGTATGTTTCACATTGTTATACTTTTCAAGTTTTGAAGAGCACAATTTAAAAACTGACTGCAATTTCGGAGTGACGCTGACAGGTTTGTCAACAGATATACGCTTGGATGCGTGGTTGCCGTTGTGATTTTTCGTGCAGAAAATTATAGAATCGGAAATGGAAATTTTGCTAAAGCTTAAAGAAGCGGAAAATAGTCCTTGCACCGGTTTCGGACCGATTAGCCCTCATCAGTTTTGTTCGTGCCACAGCCAATAACCGGCAGTTCGTCAGTTAAGGACATCTTCAAGAGCCAATTTTTTCCATAAATAAACTGAACTTTCCCAGTAACTTAAAAGGAATGACGCCAAATGTTCCTGCCGAAAAGTCACTTACCTCGTGACATCCGGAATACACTGTGTGGTTGGAATCGGGAATCGGCACCGCTCCTTTCCTCTGGAAGAAAATCCCATTAAAATTCCCTGGCACATGTTCCCTAATCGAATTCACTTGTTGGACTTTGGCAAAGAAATTTCTACAATTTTATAATCGGCTTTTGCTTGTGCCAAAGCAAACCCATTAGATCTTTTGCAGAACAAGCTGTCGCTTCTATTGAGCTGGGCTGAGAGCATGACTGTATAAAAAGCTGTGTTTTTTTGAGATTTAGCCTTTGGCTTTGACCGATTCAACACTTACTCTGGAATGTCGATAGTCGTGCTCTCGTGGATCGCGGCTTCTAGGCATTTCCTCATTTCGCCGATAAACTAATTCGTCGAATTTCTGTCGATCCTCAATGGCTACGATCTCCCTTAATTCGGTCATGAGGGTATACTGCGGGAAACAAAAATAATCCGGATAAATTCATAGAAAAGTGTGCTTCCGAGCCATTATAGGGACGCTAAAATCGCATTTCTATCCCCAGATTACAATGGGGCGTCATAAATTCCCAACCAGCGAAAATTAGGGAAAATAACGACTAGAATGGCGCTTTTAATGGCTGCTAACTAGTGCCATGTTAAAATTTAATGATGCATTAACTGGCTTTGATGCTGCAGTTTTATCAGTGAAAAGCCCGATACATCKGAGAAAAATTAGTCGATGGATGATCATTCATTCATGGTTTTGAAGACCAATTGCGAAGTTTTTTGGTCTGATTTTTTGGATTTTTGGGGCGGTTTWAGCAGAAGACGAGTCTCTGGTCGATGGGTGCTTCTTGCAAAATTATTTTTCTTGGGGGGAGGGGGTGATTTTTTTTTGGAGAATTGCCTCATCGACATTGGGCTCGTTTTATGCTGAATTTGCCCCAAAAAGCCGAATCTGCAGTCAGAATTCGCCTGGGATCTCTTTGAAGCGAGCGACTAGCAAAATGATTGCGGGGAACCCAGGAAGAGATGAGAAATGGAGATAAGTTYTATATTGTTGAGGCGGATTCATTTTTTAMAAACTTCTTTTTGGGTATTTCGCCTCAAAAATTTTTGTCTTTAAAAAAGACAGAATTTCTTCACGTCTTTTATTACAGATTGATAAATAGTGCTCCCATTTCGCAATAAGAACTAATTATTTATCAAAAAGTAATCAAGAACTATCACCTAGAGGGTATCCTGCGACACACTTAGGCTCAAGCTGTAAGAGAAAATTCCAATTAGTA